TGTTGCTGAAAATCGAAGAAGAAACCGAAGAAGACTCGATGGAAGGAGAAATCGATTTGTTGCTGAAAATCGAAGAAGAAAACGAAGAAGACTCGATGGAAGGAGAAATCGCCGGTAACCAGAAAGGAAGGAGAAATCGCCGGTAACCAGAAAGGAAGAAGAAATCGACAGAAAGGAGGCGTGTCTTGAGGAGGAGTGTTCATGAAAACTTAGGGGTAGGTGGGTCTTTTTTTTGCTGAATGCAGACAACAGCCCATGTCCATCTGTGTGAATAAGTCATGAACTGTGCGAATAAGCTCCAAGTAAACACTTAATTTTAACTGTGCGAATAAGCCGGAAGTTCAATTAAGCCCATTAAGTCATAAGTAAACAGCCCCTTAGTACCGTTTACTTAAATGATTATTCAGTAATTGCTTATCTTTAAAAGTTAACATTGTAATTTATTTTACCCGGTAAGATTGTAGTACAACAAAATGGTATTGTATGCAACAATTTGTCCGGTAAACACTTATCCGGGTAAGAGTCGTTACCCTCGCTTACCGAGTAAGACTCTTCATCTTTATCGTTGCTCTTATCGGGTAAGATTTTTGACAATTGTCATGTTCATCCGGTAAGAAAAATTACCCAGTAAGCACTTACTGGATAAGCATTTAGTAAACGGCCCCTTAATCTATATTATATTATAAAATATTTCACAAAAACTCTTCAAAACTATTTTTTATGTATACAGTACTATTTATTGATGCATATTACTTAAAATTCAAGATCACAAGTAAAATTATGCGTAAATACAACTTACTAAAGCTTCATTTTTAAATTTGTGTAACTAACTATGTATAAACATAATCAAATATGGGATAGACATTTTATTTTGAATATAAAAAATCTAAAATATAATTAGGATAATCATTGGTTATAACAAAATATTTAATTATTATCTTTGTAAAAAAATATATTAGTAAACGATAAATAAATTACTTTTTTATTAAATTATAAATAAAATATTGAATTACAGAAATTAATAAAAAAAGGAGTTTTAAATAGTGAATTTGATACTATAATTAATATATATTTTTTCAAAATTTTATGATATATTTAAATTGATATTTTATTCAAAAATAGAAACATTATCACTTTCTCAAAACCACTAAAAACTGTATTATATCAACGAAGATAAATAATAAAACGAAATATTAAAATTAAAATATACCTCGCTATATTATGCAAACACCCTTTTAGTTTATAACAAACATATTTAAATTTGTTTTACTTAATTATTTCTATGTATTCTAATAATATCTAAACAAAAATAAAACTAAAACATGTCATTATGTAAAATAAATACACAATTAAAGTATCATATTGTCTCAAATGTGTATTTATAGAATTTTATTTTTTTGATTTTTACTAATAATACTATAAATGGTATAAATTAAAACTGATAGAACACCAACAAGTTATGAAAAATTGTTGTCATAATAGGAAAAGTTGAGATTCTGGTTGTTGAGTTGAAATTGATATACTACCGAAAAAATGGATGAAAAGTTTTCCTATTAGATGTTGTTTGCATCTGATTGTTGCTATTTGCACTTCTAATCAGTGTTAAAAGGTTTGAAATTGAACGTTCATAAAATGTCAAAATCAATCAAATAATATAATATATTTTACTATTGTTATTGTTTTATACATTAATATATATTAAACATGGACTAAATGCACCCTTATGTATTGGAGGGGAGGGGGTTGCAAAAAGCAATCATATGTTACTTTGACGTTAAAGATGGTGTAAATAGTAATCCACTATATAATTGGGTATGTTTGCCAAACTATCTGATAATCTAGGTTTTGAATGATAAGATGTTTGATAAGTTGGGGGATCTTCGGTTGTGGTTTAATGTGTTGTATAGTCTATATGGCTTATTCGCTCAACCATAAATAACCGTTCAGTTGTGGCTTATTCGATCAACTGATAACTTAATCACCCAGCCGAAAATCCTTACTTCTTTACACTCAGCGATTTAATTTCCCATTAATTCCCCAACTATCCTTCAATAAAGAACCCCCATTTTGACACTCTTCCAGGTTCATCACTAGTTTACGCTTCCAATTTCCCAGGCTTCCATTCATCGCGTTGTGGTATTCTTCAACTTTTGCTTCTCCACCTAGTTCAACATCACTTCACCCTACTTTTCTTCATGTGATATGATTTCTTCTTGTGATACCGAATTCTTCATGTCGTTTTCAAAACCTATAAGTTGTGATTTGATTTCTTGATGTATACCGATTTCTTCCTGTGGTTTTCGAACCCTATAAGCCGTGATTCGATTTTTTGTCGTGATATCGATTTCTTCCTGTGGTTTTCAAACGGTTTCTAGACGTGGTTTACGATTTCTAGCTATGGTTTTCATTTTCTAGATGGTTTTTGGTTTTTCCTTGTTTTGATCATATGTGTTTTCGATTTCTAGCCATGATTTTCAATTTTTCCATTTTTTTGATTTCTTGCCATGATTTGTTCTTCTCTTCCCATGGTTTTCCCTATATTTTTACGATCTCTCAAAATGGTTTTTTGGTTTTTCCTTGTTCCGATCAGATGTGTTTTCGATTTCTAGCCGTGGTACAATCTAGATTGGAGGTAAAATGGTCATTTTTGACATTCAAACTGTTCATTCAGCAAACAACCGAACAACAATTTATTTATCATCATACAAACAACTTTATCTACACAAAACATAATAAAAAAACGAACCAAACATTCCTTAATCATATTTGGTAAAAACTAGATAACAATATAAAATTATTATGATGACATAATTTTTGGTCGTTTAAAAAATATAAACACATATTTGGAGGAAAAATAAAATGAAAGTTACTAAAACTTATTCTTAATTAGTTTCTTTTTAAATAGTCAATCAAATAAATCTTTTGAACCATAAGATAAGATAAATTAGCCTACAATTACCAAATATGGTCGTACGTATCCAAACACATTAAAACAAAACATATATCTAAAATATTAATATCCATATTTGTATAAACATAAATTTATTTCCATTTTTTTAAATTCATATTTATATTTTCCATAGTTTTTAAATTCATATATATATATATATATATATATATTCTGAATATGTCGTAGAAAAAAATATAATATCTAATTTAATAAAACTTGTCCAAAATATGAAAAGCATAAAAAACATGGTGGGATAGTAATAATAAAAAATTGAATTTGGTCCGGAGATACTTATTTTCATTGAAAATCATCTCGGTTTTTAGTTCTTACAGTTTTTCCTTCATGTTTACAAAATAATGGTTTTCGTCCCTTTAACTAACAACTGTTACATTTTTCCGTTAAATACAGTTAAATGAGGGACATTTTGGTAATTTTACCTTTTTCATATGTAATTACAAACCTCATCCTTGATGATCTTCTTCTCGGATGATCTTCTTCTCATGCCTCTTGTGCACATACACTGTTTTAAGAAACCCAATTCGACTCACTACATCTCCATTTGCATCTGTTTCTGCATCTCATAGTGCCCGTTTTAATCACCTTTTACATTTTGCATCTCGTTTTGGCTACACATGGGTCGTGAAACTCATCAGGTCATCGTATCTCTCATGAAACCGATAAACTCAACTGCTCTTCGGTGGAACCATAACTTGACTAAACTTAGCGCATTGTACAATTTGACGTATTTTAAGATATGACATCTTATCATTAAATTCTATTATACACTTTTTTTGCACGCCTAGTAATATATATGATAGTCATAACATACTAAACACACAAGCTCGATATAAACAAATGAATTCATTTATTGATTATTAAAACGAGGTATAACATATAAATTTGGAGAAAGTCAAAACTTCACGTTTGTATTGTTTTCATAATTACAAATCTAAG